CCCCAAAACCCCAAAACCCCAAAACCCCAAAACCCCAAAACCCCTTTATTAAATATTATTATTGAAGTAAAGTTCAAAAATATAATTCGAACTATTTACTGTTTTAACTAACTGACCCTTCAGAATCATCTTGGTTTGATTCATCATCGTTCTGGCTGAATCTTTCAGGAGAAATTTCTTGAGAAATTTCCTGAGAAATCCCTATAAATATGTATAAGCAAAGATACCAACAATTTTTATATGAAAGTTATTTCGTTTTGAAAGCTGAGGCAAAATAAAAAGTTAGGGCATATGTTCTATATCAATCAGAATGCCTGAAAGATTTCATATCTCAAAAACATACAACTATTCATATTTTAAAGAACTAAAGAGGCCTAAAAAGGTCAAAGATAGACGATCTCTAATAATTTCGAGTCCCAAAAAGTATATATCTCTGAAAATTAGTAAGAGATTGCAATATTACCTTTATGGTTTGTTTCAAAACTGCTATTCATGTCTTCAATATTATCTCTGAGAATGTTCTGCTCTTTTAATTTATTAATTGTAGGGTCTATTCCGAGGTCATTCGGAGGACTATGGGCTTGACGAGAGCCTAACCTGCTATTGTTCAAATCAGCATTTTTAGAAATCAATGCGGTCTTTGGGACCATATTCTTCAAATCCTTGACGTTTTGGCTCAACTGTTCATTTTCAGTTGTAACGTTCTTTAGTTGTTTCTTAGTTACTTTTATCATTTGTTCATATTCTTTAAGTAATTTCTCTTTGCGGAGGCAGCTTTGCTTGGTTTTAGACTCTTTCTTGTCTCTGAGGTTTTCTATAACCTTCATTCTACTCTTTATTATGTTTATTTCATCAATAGCTTCCTTTGCCCTTCTCATTTTGGTAGTTTTCTTCCCATTCTTGATTTTATTACGCTCTTCGATGAGTTGGAATTTGACTTTGTTGAGATCAGACATTTCTTTAATTACTTTATCTTGTTCTTTCCTGAGTTGTCTACGCTCAAGTTGCATCTTTGCATTTTCCTCCTTTTTCTGTGCAACTCCTTTAGTAGTTTTCTCTAATTTAAACCGGAACTCTGGGTCATCGTAGAGTTTGGTCATAGTGTTCTGTTGATGTCTATGACTTTTGAGGAGAACCTTTTTCTGATTCTCAAGCTCTGCTATTTCCTTATCAAGCATTTTAGCCTTTCCTTTCTCAGCATTTATCCGATCAATTTCAGAAGAATTCTCTACCTTAATATTCAAAGACTTTATATATTTCTTTCACCTGGTAATCTGAGTTTGATAACTGTTGATTTCTTTCTCCTTTTTAGCAACATTCGGGTCACTTGGACCATCACGATGAGTGATGATCTGCTTTTTCAGTGCTCCAGCTTTTTGAATAGCGGTCATAACAAATTTGGATATCTCCCCAATTTTATTACGAAGTTGAGTATTAGATTTCATCATCGCTTCAATATCAATTTCATCATCTTCATAAAGATCCTCAGGACACCTATTCTCAAGTTGATCAATCAACAAATCTATCTCATCAAGCCCATCATTAATAGTCGTTACATCAAAGTCATTCTGAGGAATCTTCACCTTCGAATTCATGGTATAATTGCCTAACCTATTCCTAGCCCCTCCACTTTTCTTCCTCGATACACTTTTATACTTCCTCTTCTTCTTAGACTTCGAGCTTTCATAACCAGAGGTCATGCCTGCATCATTATATGGGTCATCTTTTGAGCTATTTATGTCCTTGTTCATGCTACTATTGGTGATACTTCTTCGGCGACGTTCAAGTTGTTTAGGCTAGGAATGTGAGTATTTAGGAGCTTATGGCGAGGTGTTGACTTACTTTGGTATGGCTTTGAGGTATCTTTTGAGTTGTAATTGTGATCAAAGGAGGTGTCATTACTGGAGATTATATCATTGATAGTCTTTGTATCTTTAGGGACAGGGTTTGATACATATGAAGTGGACATTGGATATCTAGAAACATTAGAGTTAGAAAGTGGGATTTTGAAACATTTTACCTTGAAGAGTTCGAAATTTAATATTAATTATTACAATTTATTGGCAAATAAGGGGTTTTGGGGTTTTGGGGTTTTGGGGTTTTGGGG